GCATAAATACAACCAGGCCAGAAAATTATTTGATTACTGATGGACTAACGAGTAGTGATTTATATATTTTTTTATTTCAAATGGCAGGCGTTTTGATAGGTATCATTAGCCCTTTAGTTGACTTCGGGCTTCACAGAAAGGAACAGGAACATTGAAGTGGCAAAAAGTCGAGATGGGGACAGAATAATGATTCACAAATGTAAAAGGGACAGACAGACGCAAAGGTAGAGAGAAAGGAATGATGAGTGCTGTAGAAGAGGCGAATATGGCATAAAGTTGGGCCATTGTAGTTTGAAGTGAGAAGTCAACTATCGATTAATAGACTTTTTGCTGTATGAGTATACGTTGCCTGGGGTGTATCACGCGGAGGTTAGTCTCTCGCACACTCCGTGAAATATATGTTGAACCAGCTATCAGATGTTTCCTCAAATTACAGAAATTATAAATTTATGGCTGACGATAAGGCCTTAATTACAATATCCGCAGTCGGTCTACTACGTGAGTGTTGTTTTTTTTAACTTGGTACCAAAATGAACATTGTGGACATGATACGACTTTGATTGAACTGAGAAAAGTTTTACGTATAAATTTTATTAGACCATAAATTAGTTATATCCTCTTTCTGATTCATTTAATTATATTATATACACCAAATTCATTAGCAGATTGCTACTTCCCACAACCCATTCCTAAAGGATTGAAAATACTTCAAGGTTAATGGTATACAAAAAATTTCAAAGTTTCATACGCTTTAGTCATGAAATTATTGTAATGGTGCTCATTTCTCAAATTTTTAAATACCAGAATTCCATTCTGGTTTATGAATATTTCGGTCAAATTTAGCATCTATCAATTTAATCTCTTAAACAGTCGTCATTCTCACTTTAGGTATTCCTGACCATTCTGCTTCATACTTTCTTATATCAATTTAAATCGATAAATTTTAACTATTAATAGCTCAGTCTCGTTCTAAGTAAAATATTGTGAATAGAAAGAACATATTAGTACTTTGTGATGAAGGAGCTATAAACCTGCTTTACGGGCATATGTTCAATACATACAATATCATCTGCCTCAGTTGATTACTTCCCTTGTTCCACTTTGAGTGAATTATGAGGTTAATTGGTATGATATAGGGGCTTTGCTTTGATCAATATCCTTGGAAGTCACACCAAGTAGACGTGTCAATTCAAGATTTTTCTACTATCGTATGGAATCAAGTATTTTGAAATGTTTCGGCCTTGGTTCTTTTTCTTTAGTAATATTTAAAGTGAAAGAATTTCGACGGATTAGATTTTGATTCTTGAAATTCATGACTAGAATTGGTGGGGCAGTTGCACGACGTACCCAGAATAACTATTGATTGAATGAATACACAATACTTATTTACTCAATGCTTAATTTAACATTTAATAAACGACGAAGGAAAAATCATTCGGTTTTCAAGAACATGAAAAAAATTAATCGTTCATAATATTGCCAAAAAATAATCTTGCAAACATAAGAGGAAAACTTCGGAAAAATAAATGAGGCTAAATTCCCTTTTAACTTCATTAGTTATCACTAACGAAAACAATGCAGAACAATTTGTAGCGGACTGCTACGCTAGTAAAGCCTGACTGACTCAGAAATCTCTATAGCAGATCCTCCCACATCTGGCTAGACTCCCAGAACCAGCTAAGCTATAGCCCAGCTATGAAAGGAAACAGACGTGTAGCACGGAGCACGTTTATTCAGTGCGAGTATTGCGGATAAAGTGTACACGTAGGGGGCCTAATCATGATCAGGATGGGTGATTAGGTTAAACAGAGGTTGATGATTGGTCACTGTTTGTACGGTCGCTGCACACAGAGTTGCACGGCCGCACCTCCCAATCCTGGGGAGCAGACATGCAGGCATACTATGAAGCACGGAGCGATAACGTGTCCCACAATACCCCCCCCCCCCCTTAGAGCGTTTAAAGGGGCTGAAAAATAAAGAAAACGTTCGATTATTAGTTTATGTAAAAAAATCAACTAGTTGAGAGGGAAGGTATATTTGCGGCCTTAGAGAAACAGGGTTTTGGGTAGGGGTGGGATAGGTGTTGGAACTGCTGAGACCGGATTGTTTGAGTTGGAGGTAGTAGGATTGTGGACTTCATGCGTGCTTGGGGACCTTGCCGAGTGTGCGAGTGAGGGAGTACTTGGTACACTGGCGGGCTTCCCGTTGGATGTTTCTCCAGAGACAACGATCGATTATCAACGTTCTTGTTCAGCGGATGTTTGTTTGCAACAATCCACGGACGATTGATCTTGGCTTGTAAGTTGAAACGCAGTAATGAGTTGGTGTTTTGAGGACCTGTAAGGGTAGGCTTTCGAAGAGTAACGTACTCCGGCCGTTATTTCCATTGGGTACAAGGACGAGGTTCTAGAGTCTCGTAGAGATGGACATTTAAAACGAAACGTGCTCCGGCTGTTGACTATTTCCAAGGGCGTTCTGTGGGAGTCATAGCCAGTGAATGGAGAGAGTTTGGGTGCCGTTGAGGTGCTGATCGTTCGTAGGAATGAACCATCAGATGAGGAGAGCGATGTGAAGAACAATCTTTGGGGGATGATTCAATGTGGAGGGATTCGTTCAGGAAGTCTCCAGAATTTGGTTCTTTTTGTCCCCCGCCCCCATATGTGGTCAATTTGGGCCCGGAAGTTATTCAGCAATTTTGGCAACAAATCTACCGATATCTACCAGATCCTGCACTCCCAAATCGACATTCCGATGGTCAACAAATGGGAATTAAGATGTCTATTGCCATTGAGAGTACGGAGTTCGGACATACCTACGATGATTTCGTGATGAGCCACTGGAGGTGTGAGGAGAGAAATATTCCATTTCCTTCAAAACACATTCAAGATGCTGGAAAGTGGCTCTTATCCTACTTCTAGATGGCTCTGTGAAGCTCTTGCTGATGTTTGACGACTCTTTTGTCTCAATCCTAAGTTTGTTAGTGTTGCTGAAATCCTTGTTCCTAGCCTTGGTGTCTCACGTGTGGAAAGTGTTGAAATGTTGGATAGTTGCCAGCATAAAATCCTTTCTTCTACTCAGAAATCTCTGTGGCAGATTCTCCTACATCTAGCTACCGGCTCAGAAATTTCTATGGCAGATTCTCCAACATCTAGCTAGGAATCAGAAATCTCTATGGCAGATTCTCCAACCTCTAGCTAGAGAACAGCTAAGCTATAGCTCAGCTATAAAGAAAACAGACGTGTAGCACGGAGCGCGTTTATATCTGTGGCAGATTCTCCTACATCTAGCTAGACTCCCAGAACGGCAGATTCTCCAACGTCTAGCTAGACTCCCAGAACCAGGGAGATTCTCCTACATCTAGCTAGACTCCCAGAACCAGCTAAACCATAGCCCAGCTATAAAGGAAACAGACGAGTAGCACGGAGAATTCTCCAACATCTAGCTAGACTCCCAGAACAAGCTAAGCTATAGTCCAGCTATAAGGGAAACTGACGTGTAGCACGAAATGCGTTTATTCGGTACGTATATTGCATATAAAGGAAACAGATGTTTAGCACGGAGCACGTTTATTCTACAGAGGATACAGACGTGTAGCACGGAACATTTATTCAGTAGCGGAAAACAGACGTGTAGCAAGGAATACGTTTATTCGATACGGGAAAACAGACGTGTAGCACGGAGCACGCTTATTCAGTACGGACAACAGACGTGTAGCTCGGCGCACGTTTATTCAGTCAGTATATTGCGGATAAAGTGTACACGCATGGAGCTACTCATGATCAAGATGGCTGATTAGGTTCGGGATAACCAAAGGAAGAGTTGATGTGATTTTTTCAAGCATTATGATGTAAGTAAGAGAGGACGACGGTAGAGTTGAATGAATGTTGACTGTTATCCACAATAATCCTACTGAATAAACGTGTTCCATGCTATACGTCTGTTACCTTTATAACTGGGCCATAGCTTAGCTAGTTCTGGGAGTCAAGCAAGATGTAGGAGAATCTGCCACAGAGAATTCTGAGTCAGTCAGGCCTTACTAGTGTAGCAATCCACTACAAGCCACAGGAAGATGACAAAAGTTCATAAGATGACTTATAGAACTTCAAAAGCTGAGGAATGTTTTCTAAGGTCGAACAAATTAAGAAATAATTTCCTCAACTATCGAAAATCTGGAAGTAAAGACGATATTATTTGTAAATCAATTCATCAATTAGAACGTGGAGAATATTATAATGAATTTTGTCCTCACAATACGAGATAGCGAATGGAAGAGCAGTTGCCATCCAATATTCCTCAACTATATTCGAATAGGTGGACGCCCATACCTTTTGTTTACCCTTGAAGAGTTACAGATCAGTGATACGGCAAAGGAGAAAGAAACTAATTTCAGACAGATATAGTGAAAATCCGCTTAAATAAGGGAAATCAAAATTATTTTTCACCATGAAAATTGTAGGTATTGCCTTTTATCTGGCAGTTGACTTCTGACTTCTAACTACCCTCACCCCATTGTATGTCATGTTCGACTACTTCCACAGTACTCACCTCACTTTTTTCCACTTTTGTGTCTGTCTCTTACATCTTTGAAACTCTCTTCTGTTCCCCATCTCCCTCTCGACTTGTTCCACTTTGATGTTCATCCTCCTCTGTGAAGCCTGAAGTCAACTAAAGGGCTAATGATAACTTTCACAACGCCTGCCATTTGATATAAATAAATAAATCTTTGATTGCCCAAAATCTGCTAAAATACTTTTACTTTTAGAGCTAGTCATATTTCATGCTTTCAAAGTAGTTTAAGAAGGATTAGATTTGAACATTGGCAAGTGAAAAAAGTCACTCCCTTATTGAAAAGTAATGATAATCGAATAGGGTAGTTCTTATTTCGGAAGAACCTGCTTGCTTTGACTTCAGAGTTGACAACAGAAACAGGTATGAATGCAAATAAATTTCGTCCATTGGAAAGAATAACAGCATATAAACTAAAACTCAGATTTCCACTCATATATACTGAGGTGGAAGGATGATTAAATTTGTGCAAAATTCACGTTACTTAAACTTCTATATGGTTTCAGTTGTGATTAGGGGCTCTTTCCTTAAAATTTCAGTCTATGAGATATTTTTGCGAGCGCTTTCAGAGCAAGTGGATGAGTATTGACGAAGAGGTTCGCTTTTAAGTGCAAATTCTGACATTTGTTTTCTCTACCATTTTGTACAACTATTGAAAGTGAGGTTAGGGTCATTTGATTACAAAGAAATGGGAGAGTTAGGATTATACCACCTGTGGGACACGTTATCACGTTGTTCGTCGTAGTATGCCTGCATGTCTGCTCCCCAGGATTGGGAGGTGCGGCCGTGCAACTCTGTGTGCAGCGACCGTACAAACAGTGACCAATCATCAACCTCTGTTTAACCTAATCACCCATCCTGATCATGATTAGGCCCCCTACGTGTACACTTTATCCGCAATACTCGCACTGAATAAACGTGCTCCGTGCTACACGTCTGTTTCCTTTCATAGCTGGGCTATAGCTTAGCTGGTTCTGGGAGTCTAGCTAGATGTTGGAGAATCTGCCATAGAGATTTCTGAGTTAGTCAGGCTTTAATAAAGTAGCAATCCGCTACACACCATTATCTCTTCATCTAACGCGTTAAATGGATAACTCTTTCCCAAATAGTGGTATTAATACTTATGCCTTTTTCGGGATGATATCTAATAATAACCTTGAAAACGAAGTAGCATTCATTTCAGCTGCTGACTTTGAAGTGATTCTGGTTTGTCCATTATGTATTGTTGACAGTATTGGCAGCCTTTTTTGTAAAGATTGTAGGCAAAATTTATGTGAATTCAAACCTAGATATCAACTCAAAGGAATTGCATTTAGCTCTGTTGTGCCAAAAATGTACGGTTCCGTCTTATGTACCTGATTACGGCCACACAAATACATTAAGGCAGCATGATTACACATGTTAAGGAAAAAAAATACTAATTACAGATAGTACGTAAACCTGAGCATTAATGCGATACCGTCAACGTTGGTTCTGATAGCACTGTCGTCTACCCTCAATAATCTACCGCTTCAAGTTGAGCTATGCCATTCAACGGATCAAAATTATATTCGAGGAGAAGACGATAGCAATCTCATGGGCCCAGGCCGGGACGATCTTATCTAATCCGCGGACAAAACGTAAACCTGTCAAGCCCCTACTCTCTCGAAGCTGCTTATGTGGAGAATCTCAAGAGAGGATGAAATCAGTATCTCCTTGTTACTAAAATCCCCCAATCCTCCATTTCCATCCCGAGTTAGAACCATCAGCATATGCTTAATCAAAGGCCAAGAATTTACAGATTTGTTGGATTTCTCACCGAAGCGAAAATCACCTTTACGAGAGTTCTTACCTTTGAGAAGCTATGCTTTATTTGCTCATAGATACAAGATAAACATTTTTCGCCAATTATGACAGTAAGATCCAGTTAGATTCTAAAGACGTGTGGGAGGGGGGATTAGTGCAAAAATCAGAGAAAAAGTACTATGAAAATTTATTACGTAGAGTTTAAAGGATGACTCCTTGTGTGTTTCCTCAAAAATGATTCTCCAATCACACTCGTTATGAAAATACGAGGTCTCAGTGATGTCTATGACCCCATTAATTCAGGACCCAAACTACCAAGCCCCCTTCCCGTACATCTCTTATTAAGCTGTTCCATTTCTCTTAAGGTATACTCGCGCGCCCGTATCTTTTTGAAGGAAATCACCAGTCTACGTGGCTCATACAATCAGGATTAGGAAGTGCGATCTAAATAGATAATTAGCCGTGCGACACCAGTTAGATAATGTAAGTAAATATTAAGGAATTCAAGGTCGGCAAGACGTATGGTGAAAAAAAGGACCAAGAAACATAAAAATTCAAATGGCGAGAGCAGCTGATCCTTTGTCACGAGTCCGCCAATTGTTATTTGAGCAATATCTTCAGTGGATATACGCTCTCAGACCTCTGAATTGGCACACGTTGACCAATTACGTCATTAACACAGATAATGAAACTACTAAATCCGGGCAGCCATTGTAGAGCGATAGCACCACTACACGCATCTATGGTGAGAACTGTCCTCCACCTTCAACGTCCAGCTCTAATCAGTGAGGTTGGCCATTATGCTCACGGAGTGAACACCAAAGCTTTAGAAGCACAAAAGTAATTCAAGATACCAAGAAAATATACACAAGACAATATTCTTACGTATGAAAATGTATTAATCTCTATATTTAAGCTTTAAAATATTCAAACTGGAGTTGTAGCCATTCTTTGCACTGTTAGGAAAATCCATACAGACATACGCAATGATTGAAGAATATGGGGGGGGGGAGAGAGATTAGACAAATAGGGGATAAAGGTGGAG